TTACCAACTAAAATTCTAGCTCCAAGAACAGCTTACTATGAACGCAGTTTATTGTGCACAAATATTATAAAGTAGTTGTGTAACTGGCCATACTTAGGTGTGTTCTTTCCTCAAATATCATTTCTTATCCCTTAATTTCGATCATTTCACAAGACTACAGCAATGAGTGTTCATATGTTAGGCAGGAAAGCATTCAACAATGATTCAGGTATTAAATCCTTTCGTCATCGATGAATTTTAATGCTTAACAATGTTACTTTGTCTTATCCTATAATTTCTTTTCAGTCCATAAATATAGTAGTTGAATTTATCTCCAAGTTAATTATCTTGTTGAGGTTTATGCTTGTTAATTACACTAATTCAGTATGATCTGAAAAGTTGACAAACCCTGATCCGTTGCTTTAATCTATGTACTTGATTCTACCAAACTACCATATAACATTTGGCAAACAAAATTATTTTGTTTAACTGGACTAAAAGGATCCTAAAAATGTTAACGTTTATCGTTGAATAAAAATCCAATAGTGTGATGTTTGATTCCATTAGTTATATTATAGTGCTGTCAAAATTATTCATACAAATTTTAAGCCCTTTCATATTAATTAATTCAAGAATCAGGACCAGTTTAGTATTATGTTTCAGAAAAATGTTGAATTTTGCTTTCAACTCTGATTAAGATGAAAAGATATTTACAAATTTCAATTATAATACTAATCTGAAGGATAACAATACAAAGTCTCCTTCAAATTATTATTATTTGTCCCTTCTGTTCCTAATGGAACATAGGGCTTCAGTAGCACGTCTCTATCCCACTCTCTTCTCTGCAGTCTTTTGAACCTGGCTCCACGACTGCCCACAAGCTTTCATTTCTTATTCACAAGATCTCCTCCATGTCACCCTCACTTCGAACTCCCAACTCACCGTTTCCCATCTGGGTGCCACTCGAGGGCCTGTCGCGTGATGTCGCCGAATGGTCTTCTCAGTGTATGCCCAGTCCATCTCCACTCTCTCCCTCTGCATATTTGTTCGGCGGTGGGTCCTTTGTTGGTTCGTTGCCAGAGTTCCTTGTCGCTTATTCTTTCTGGCCATCTGAGCTTCAGTATCGAGCCAGCGTAGGCAGTTGTTGATGAATGTCTGTAGTTTGTTGGAAATCCCTTACGTAACGCGCCAAGTCTCTGAACCATCACGCAGGAGCACTGACTTGATTGGCATTGGTGTTGAAAATCCGGCTCTTCTTCTTTATGCTGAGTGCAGAAGATTTCCACACTGGTTTCAGGTTAATGAACGCCTGTCTTGCTTTTCTGATCCTGGTTTTGATGTCGTCATCTTTGCCGCTGCCTGTAGTTGAAACGATGCTGCCTAGATAGGTGAAGGAGTCTACTTCCAATAAGTTTGTCCCATTGATGGTGATTGGAGCTTGTTGTTGTTGGTGTTGGTTGGGCATCTTCATCACCTCCTTCAAATAGTCTCCATTTATTGTGGATACCAATAATGTCATTGTACACAGACGCAGAAGGTTATATAAAATATTTTCAAAATCTTGTAGTTCATGCAATAAGAACAATGAGATTTTTATGAGTGAAGGAATATTTCTTCTTAACAACTTTATTATCAAGCTATATCTTATTACAGTTCCAAAGAAAATGTTAATCTAAAGCAACTGGTCCCTTTGATAAATTTTAAACAACGTAATGAGAAGACGAAGATTATCTGACGATTACATCACACCCCACTGTGTTTATCAATTTACATCGGGAGGTGTAGTCGTGATGTGCAGTTAAGGAAGGTTGGACATGTACCTAAGTGGCTACAAAAACAGATGACCTCAACAGATCCGGTAAGTACAGGTGACAAACATCCATCTTCGTCTTTCGCTAAACATATACTAGAAACAAGTCACAGAATAGGCATGAAAATATCCTCTAAAGTACTACATAAAAGTGATCAGAGCCGAGTACTTAAATTTACTGAAGCTCTTGCCATCCGTAAATTCAAACCCCCTGCTTTATGTATACAAAAACAATTTGTACTCACCTTGAATCCACCTTGGTAGTATTGATTTTAATTTTCATACAAAGAGTAACATGATTAAGATTTTTTTTTTTTCTCTCCCTTCCTATTCCTATGTTTCCTATTAACTTCATTGACCCTTTTCAGAAATTTTCATATAAATAGTTCGATAAGCCCATGTGTGGTCAGATTGTTTAAAGCGTGTAGCGCTAATACATCACACATGTTTCAGATAATCTTCGTCTTGTCATTACGCTGTTTAAAATTTCAATCATTCACTTTGGAAGTGGTATATTTTATTCTCCCAAACTGGGGTTGATATTCTCAAGTCGTCGTCTGATTTGACAATATGTGAAGGATAGGTTGTTGCTTATGTCCATATGCTCATATGGAGCTAAATACATAAAACATTATGAGCGGGCCATCCGAAAATGTCTTTCTCAACATTATTCGGTTTGGTTTACCAAACGTGAGTAAAGAAAACGAACTTCATCCATGTATGAAGTTAGGTCATTCAACTCCTCGAGATAATTTACAAAGTTAAATTGACCTGATGAGAGTACATCCACCTGATGAGTCCCAAATGGGAAAAAAACGTGCGTCCTGGATTCCATTGTTAAATAAATTTAAATTGAACTAATCCACAGGTCTACGTTTCCACCACTTATGCATAGCTGACACCACGACTGCCCATAAGCTTTCATTTTTTCCTCACATCATCTTCTTTATGTCACCCTGGCCTCAGATGCTCAACTTGTCGTTTCCCCATTGGATTCCACTCGAGGGCCTCGAGCATGATGTCCCCAATCGGTTTTCTCAGTGATCAAACCCTATAAAGAATTCCGAAATTTCATCTGTAGTCATTATGAAAAGTCAACGTGAATGTGGTATGTTTTTAAAGCTGTATACTGGTAACACTGTTCACTTGCTGAAAGTACGCTCTGAAGATTATTGTGGCTTTTTGACCAGTAACTCTAAATATAAAAAAAGAAATAGCGTGATTTGAATGCCAATTACTTCAAAACAAAGATGAGAAAAGACCATATTGACACTGCCCCCAGAACAGGTTACTGGAAGGCTGAATCTAGCATTTATGGAAGAACCGACTTACAGTCGTTCACTTACTAGCTGTAATCTGAATGGGAAACAACGATTGGGCGTTGAAACTTCACTGAAGTTTAACAGACTAGAAGATAGCTTGAGATAAGAAAGACCAATAAACCCTAGCCTTTTTCCTTTTCAAGGAATCTAAGGATAATATAACATGATTCGAACTGACGAAGATTACTAGCTGAGGAATATGAAATAGGTATAGTTCAGTCTGAATTATCTCAGTCCGTTAACCTTCCTATTATGAAAGAAATCGTAGTCTTGTTGTTGTAACGACCCGTGAAACTCAAATGTTGGGAGTGAGTAGTCCGTCTAGCATATTGATCGCCTAACTTATTAAGAAATCGAAACAGTTGGATACTGACGAAATCCAGATAAAAACGCAGCACTGAAAGCATTACTTAGTTCCCTCTCTGTATTGACGCGAATTAATTAATGGATAAATTCTACAATTATAAAATGCATTTTTATAGCATAGAATCAAGCCAAGTTAAGGGTAGATACATTTTTAAAATGAAGTGAGATTTAGTGACTGTAACGAAATCAGACTTTCTTTTTCAAATCTGTCTATATTAGAATGACACATATACACAGATAAGGGATCTGATATTGAACAATAAGATAACGAATAAAGAAGGCAAGAGTGGCCTGTAGTTTGTTGTAGGCCAAAGGAGGAGCTACGCTTAGACATGTTCCTTCTAAATGCTCAGTCCAGGTTTGATCAAGCTTATTGTGACAACCTCTGTTATATTGAGCAGAAGTTGGTGAGTTACACCTGGTGGTATCTTTTTTTGAATACGATGAATGACACTGAAAGCTTTATTGGCATCTATGTGATGTCTTGTGTCTACTAGGTGCTCTTGGATGACATTTTTCACCATTTTCACCTATCTCTTTGCGAACCAGGCTGGTAAATGCTGTTGTATACGAAGAATTTCCAGTTGTTTGATGTATGATACTTTGATCAGTGGTGAAAAGTGACAGATATCCACTAGTTAACGTCAACAATCACTTATCTATAAACTGATTTCAGTGTACACCTTGTTTCATCTTCTTTATCCTTGCGTTGATTTTATCAGTCACTGTTACGTCAGCAGGAATACAACTACCTTATTAAACGACGTTGTCAGTGTGCCTGAAAATATTTCATTCTGAGTAGTCAGACTCTGTGTTGAAGCAGACGTTCTTTGAGATAACACTACACACAGTATGTACAGCACTAATGCTAAACTTGGTTCTTTCAAGACATTCAAAAGACCATTCATTGTCTTGACAACTTCACTGTACAAAATATGGTGGTGGTACTCTGAGTTAAGGGGAAGGTATTGGATATATATCTCAGGATATCATTGTCCATCTCTTTAACTCAACTAACAAGCTTACAATAACAAAGTTTTTGCGTGGTATGCGCTTCAGTGACAAACCAAGTCGGATATGAGGATAGGTACTCAAGAATGACATTCAATAAAGGTCACACTACATCACGAAGTGATTTGAAACAGGAGACTTTGGACCATTGGATTCTGGTCACTCGCTTACCGCATGGCCTGATAGTTCTGAATTCGATCCCTGTCGAAATTGTGAGTGTGTACTGCCGAGAAGTCCCATACTAGAAAGAAACACTTGTTTACTACTGTCAAGTTTGTTTTCATTAGCTCCTCAACTGATGTCAGTTCATAATCAATGCTAACTTGAAACCATATGAATAGAAATTTTGATCAATAGAATAATGTACCATTTTGAGGTTGAAGATTATTGCAACAGAGTTTAACTTGTACAAAATTAATACAAATCAATATGGATATAATTTGTTTTATCTAAGAAAGAGATCATTTCTAACTTAGTTTATATCTATCAACTATTTGTATTCATTCATTAAAATGTTTCTAATTTCAGATTTGATGATTGATGATCTGAATATCAGTTTATCAATCAAGACTATTTCATGTACTACTTTCATAGTCATTCATTCATCTCTACCATATATTTCTCTTATTTCACATCTAACCTATCTGATTATATTAGCTGGCGCTAAATTTTCTCATAATCCAAATTCCAATTTATTGTTAAAATTACCTATTAATTAGACCTTTCTAGCTAAAAGCTTGAAATTCATCTTCTAAATTATAATAATAATAATACTGATCGATTCGGTCCAATCAACGACGGTGTAACGCAAGCAATAACAATAATAATACTTCAATAAAATAATCTGTTTTTATACATATTGATTTCTCATTCTCTTTGGTTATTTGTCAGTCAGTGACTGGCTGACTGACTGATTCAGTGTATATTTCGTTGCTGTTTATCCGCTTTACTTCCAACTGGTTGATCCCTCAAGTCACAACTTCTCATTAGAACTTCAAGATATCCATCTCGAAGCATGTCACTAATGAGCACTATACAGGAATATACTTAGAGGATTTCAGGGATTGTGTTAATTTGAAGGTAGTATTCATCACAGAGTGACATCAGTTGGAGAGTCGTTAAAATTCAACAGTGACAATCATATACATTATGCAATTGAAGTCTTTGGAAGGGGAAAGATAACTACAGGAGTAAATAGCAATCAAAATATTAAGGGACTTAGAATATCCAGACTACTTAAGTAAGTCAGCATTCAATAAATAAGTTACTCAAGAAAACATGCAGAATATTGTGAGTTGAGCTCAGCAGGTTGGAAACAGTCTACATAGACATATCCAATTGATTAGTCAGAGGATGATGTAAGTCAGAAAGAATCATCATCTGAGTTTAATAAAAGATGATGTAATCAAATAACAATGATAGACAGAGGTTGACTACAGCTTGCTTTGGAACACTTAAATCAGGTTTAGAACATTTGATAGCTATGACTTGAGTTTGCTTGTTTAATTTTTTGATGGAGTTCAAAATGTGTGTATCTGATTTTCTCTGTTGTTTTCTCTCCTTGAGAAACTTCGTTTGCTTGATGTATATTCTTGTGAACCTTCATCGGATTTGGCGTTGTGCTTTACCACCACACTATAACTGCTTCTGTTCATCTCACCAACTCAAGGATACTTTTCTCTCAGTGAATTAAAGTATGTTAAATTGTCAATAATGGGACTAAATATTTGATATTTTGTTTTAAGCAACGAACAGGATACCAGCGTAATAAAACCACTTCATTTTAATCTGCTCTAATTGTTGTTCTTGCCTTTTATCAAACATCTTGTGATGTTTTACAAATGTAACCCTATTCTGTGATAGCTTGATCTTTATGTACAACAGATGCGCTGAATGATTATCTATATTGATCTCAGTGACTAGCAAAGAAATCCAGGACGCATATTTCGTCCTATTTGGGACCCATCAGCTGGATGTACCTGCACCCTAGTGGGTGATACTGTTCCTACCGAGGCTCAAGCTCAGTACGCTTCGCTTCAAAAGCCAGAGTGTTATCCACTAAGCCACTGGGGCACGATGATTATCAATCTTGCGTAATAATATTATGCTAAGTGATATTCATTTGATTTAATATCTTTTTTCTGTGTACCAATTCAATGTTTAATCCTTTATAATTAAAACAAACACCAATTTAGTACAATGCTTGCTTCAATTAGCTATTAATCTTTCCCGGTACTGAATCAACTAAAACTAACCATTTTTGGTGCTCTTTACAATGGTCACATATTTCTCATATAATTATCGATCGTGGAGTTTGAATCTGTCATTGTTAACACAACTATCTGTCTGTGTGTGTGTGAGCGCCAGCCAAGTGTACAGAATTTGTGCATAAATTAGTATTCATTTCTTTTAACTTTAAAAAAAAAGATTTTATATATATTTCTTGTTGAAATAATTTGGACATCAAAAGAGAAAGAATAAAATGCATCATTTCTTATCGTTATTATCTCATGCATATCAATTAATGATAATTCATAGACATTAATTGTAGAAATGTTTTATTTTGTCGACTAGTTGTTCAAAGAGATGTTCTTCACTCTTTGATCTTAGCTGTCAAGTGTTTGTATGTCATGCTAGACACCGTCATCAGTGAATCGGAGCTTAACAAGAAAATAAAGTAATTGGTTTTACATGAATATTTGTAAAATGCTAATTTGCCTGACTGTTATTTGACTGGTTACTCGGTGAGTGCGTGGGCGTATGCTGAAGCTAAGTGGTTGACTTCCTTACCTCTAGGTTTGTCAGAAAAGTGTGCAAATATGTGACTGGCTGCTTTTGTTCACCACACACCCACGCACTCACAAATCAACCAATTAAATTACACTCAAGCCAAGTGGCACGTTATAAATATTCATGTAAAACCAATCTTTTCACTTCCTAATAATGCTGTGGTGCACTGAAAAAACATCTAGTATATCACTGGAACGTTTACCAGCTGAAAAACTAGCTCAGATGTTAACTCACTCTGAACACCCACCCTTTGAGCTAGAATGCTCGCCGAAATTTCTGTACATCAGTTGCATTTAAAATAACTCATAACCAAAGGAAATCAACAAATGGCAACCGGAAATTGAATTAATAATAGAGTGGCATTGAACAATAAATAGTAAGGTGGACATAACAGTTACCTTATAGCGATAAATAAATCCTAAAAGTAAATAGACCATGGTTCAATCCTTTTTCAAGTGTACAAAGTATTAGACTCGGTGGATGTGGCAACCGCTGAAGAGGTTGGAGCTCAGCGTGCATCAGCATTCAGACAACAGAACCGGAGAATCCAGGTTGGAATGTCCTACGAAACGACAGTAACATAGTAACTGCCAAACTTGATAAAGGCATCTCAAGAGTATTTATGAATACATCAGATTATTTCAAAAAAGGTTAACGAGAATATCTAAACAGGATTGTATGAAGAGATCAAGAAACCTATAGACACTGTCATAAAGAAGATTAAGAAATCTACAAATGATCTAACACATCGACTGAAGTTGTCTCTTAGTCAGTCTTTATGTCTTAAAACTAATAATCCCAGTAGAATTTACTGTACTGTTGAGTTTCATTGATCAGGTTACTCCATTAGACCAGTAGTTGACTTCAGAAAGATCATGGTTGTACAACATCTCCCACTGTGGGAGTCTTCATCAGTGAGCACTCTTGATCCCTCAAGGTATCGAATTCAGGTCATATATTGTATGGTTTAGACTTTATTGTATAGTTACCAAGCTTTTTTCAGTTTTATGCTTCTGCTTCTAAAATGGCTTGAAATTTTCCACTCCCGTATGACACGGATTTTATGACATGGAGAGAAATCATTCTCAAGTTATAACAACAGAGTATCTTTTCTAAGAACCTTTTTGTCAATAATAGATGAACACCATAACAACTGAAGTGAATCACTAATATCCTCGAGAACTAAAAGTAAGTTTAAGATGCTACTTGTTTGTATGTGTATTGAAGAAGTGTGGTCAATCGTTGCAATCAGCTTATCCAGTAGATTTCAATGTCTGATGAAGAAAGAAAGGCTTTCTACTAAAATCATTTCTCAAAACTGCTTTCTATACGTCAGTTACCATGAGCATGAACCCCTGACATTTTAGACTTTCTTCTGTTTTTGAGAATGAAGTTGTGCTGGAGACAATGGCCATGGGATAATACTTCAATGTAAGATTACTGACAAAGCGCAGCTAACGAACACAACCTCTACCTCGTAAAGGATACTGAGCTCATATCTTAATAGGGTTGAGTTGTTTTCACACCTAAACTCCTACATTTATCCCGTTGAATGTTTCCACTTTGAAGAAAGTGCTGAAGTAACCGGACATATTCCGTTTCCATCTGTTTTCTCTTGAATGCTTAACGACTGTTTCTATCATGCATTAACATGCAACCAGCTAGCTGGTTGTTTTGCTCATGTGACTAGCTGATCTAAAATATTGTCTAATTTAAAAGTGCAAGAGGCCTATAACGGGTGATTGAAATGATTATTTTATTATTATTATTATCGTTCTTTAAAATTTATTGATATTCTTTTCGAAACAACTGACTGAAATCGGTGAAATAGAGTACTACTGTTATGATTCGGAAACTACTATGTGCTACGGTTGCTAACGATGCACGGATATCGACTGTCAGTCACCAATATTCAACAAATTCCTAATTGATTCCCGACCCGACTAATTAATGGAGAAGACACGCTGAACGTGTAGAAACGTGTGTTGGGGTCGAAAAAACCGAAGGTAACAACAAAGTATAATACAGCTAATATATAGATAGTTCGCTGTTTAAGATAATCCTATTGGTTGGCTGATCCACCGCCTCTCTGTCTAACTATCGACGTGATGACATAAAGTACATTTTGATTAGACCCTCTCCAGACCAATCATTTCTCTCTATCCCCATTTGAACTGTATATGTCGTCGAATTTGGGGGTTTGTGGGGATTTATAGATTTTTCCAAGTTTGTATTCATCGTGGACTGACATCAGCTGGAGGAACATTGGGAACCTGGGAGCGCTGGATAGCTCTCTTGTCCAACTTGTACGGGACTCTTCAGTAGTGCGCACCTACGACCCCGCCAGTGGTCGAACTCGCGATCTTCAGGTTCTGTGGCCAGAACATTACCACTGAGCCACTGGGTCGGGATATTTCCAACTTCTGTCAGTTCACGACACACATATGTCACCGATGTATGATAATACCAGTTGCACTTGTCAACCACATATGTTTTCAACACTTGCCAACTTTTCCACACTTTTCATGGGGAAAAACAAGACTAACTAACTTATCTATAATATAGTATTCTTGTATTCTTGTGACTGATTGTGTATTAACATCGTCCTCACCTTTGTCTGAGAGATAACAGTTATGAATCATGAAAACAAACACATTGTATTCATAAAGTTCATATGCGACAGAATATAGTTATGAGCCTTAAATTTCACTAGAATTGTAAGAGTAAACAATGTAATCGGTAACAGAACAAACGAATACGGTTCAAGTAAACACAAATACATGACCAACAAAAATATTGAAAGATATCCCTAGGTTAAAGTTGGAAAGTGTTCATCCCTATTAGTTGAATGTAAGCATATTCACTAACAAAGTTTACCCTTAGTAAATGAACTTATAGAAAGAATAGTGTAATCTTAATAACATATCGA